CGAAGCAGCTCAAGATGGTGGAGGTGTACAACGCCGAGTTGCTGAGGGTCACCCGTCAGTGGGAGGAGGAGAGGGGCAAAGTGGCCACGATCACCGCGACTTCGGTCGTAGATTATAAGAAGTCGGCGGCCTTCGAGGCGGATGTGCAGGCGGCGGTGGCAGCTCGGAGGAGAGAGGTGGCCAAGGAGTGGCTGGCGACCCCAGAGGGCGATGATTTCCTCCTCGACCTGGGCGAGCGAGATTACCGCCTCGGCTTCCGCGAGGCGCAGATGGAGATTCACGCCACCTTGTTGGCCCGCGACTCTTCATTTACTCCCGAGAGCTGGGGCCTCAAGCCGGTGCTGGACGCTGAGGGGTCGGCCGCGCTTACTGACCCGGCGACTCTTCCTGCGGCGACGCCTCCAGAGCTCGCCGAGTCCTTTCCTCAGGCGGAGGACCCTTCCTCTGTTCCCCTTACTGGACCATCGGCGGGGGCGCAAGTTGAAGGGGTCGCCGTCGATACCCCTCCCCCCGTAGCCTAGGGTCTTTTTTTTTTTTTTTTTTTTTTTAGAATAGACCCTCTTTTGTAAGGGCTGGCCTCCTTATCGGCCGTATTTTAATAAAAAACAGCTTTCCCTTCTCTTTTCAAGAAGTTTGTTTTTGGGGTTCTTTTAATATTGGCATTCTTCAAAGGTTTTGAATCTTACTAAGTTGAGGCGACTCCCTTACGCTTTTCTCTCGGAAGCATCTAAGGATCGGGGGTCGAGGCCCTCGTTTCCTAGCTTCCTTTTGCCGAGTCCCTCAATCGAGGCGACCCTTTAAGCTTTCTCCGTTCTCGGAAACGGTTTAGGGTCAGTGCCCCGTCGTTTCCATATATATTTGCCGAGTCCCTCATTCGAGGCGACTCCTTTTGGCTTTTTCACGGAAACGTCTAAGGGTCTGGGCCCTTGTTTCCTATCTTTCTCTCGCCGAGTCCCTCAGTCGAGGCGACCCTTTAGGCTTTTTCTGTTCTCAGAAACGGTTTAGGGTCAGTGCCCCGTTGTTTCTATATATACTTGCCGAGTCCCTCAGTCGAGGCGACTCCTTTTGGCTTTTTCACGGAAATGTCTAAGGGTCTGGGCCCTTGTTTCCTATCTTTCTCTCGCCGAGTCCCTCAGTCGAGGCGACTCCTTTAGGCTTTTTCTGTTCTCAGAAACGGTTTAGGGTCAGTGCCCCTTTGTTTCTATATACACTTGTCGAGTCCCTCAGTCAAGGCGACTCCTTTTGGCTTTTTCACGGAAACGTCTAAGGGTCTGGGCCCTTGTTTCCTATCTTTCTCTCGCCGAGTCCCTCAGTCGAGGCGACTCCTTTAGGCTTTTCCTGTTCTCAGAAACGGTTTAGGGTCAGTGCCCCGTTGTTTCTATATATACTTGCCTAGTCCCTCAGTCGAGGCGACTCCTTTTGGCTTTTTCACGGAAACGTCTAAGGGTCTGGGCCCTTGTTTCCTATCTTTCTCTCGCCGATTCCCTGGGGCGATTGGCTGCAATCCACGCACTTTATTCAGATTTCTTGTAATCCTTGATCTCATACATGACCTATCATTGACTACTGGTAAAACCTTTTCAAATGCGTAGCATTCCATATACGATCTATAAGCTTGCCTTCCATGGTCTCTAATTTGTAAGTTCCGGCTTGAACTACAGCCGCGATGCGGTACGGCCCTTCCCACTTGACCGCGAGCTTGCCTCCTTCGGTAGGCTGGCTGGCTTGTCGATCCCGTAGCACTAGGTCGCCAACCTGGAAGGTTCGCGGGCGAGTTCTACGGTCGCGGTATCTTTTCACTGCCTGCTGGTACTCAGCCATTCGCGCACTCGCGGCTTCTCTTCTTTCTTCTAGAAAATTTTTCTCAATCTGCAGGCTCTCCTCATTTGTTGCGTCCGAGTAGGTGCGAACCCGGTGGGTGGGTTCGACCACTTCGACAGGAACCTTGGCCTCAAAGCCGTATGCGAGCGAGAACGGACTCTCTCCCGTCGCTCGCCGCTGGGTAGTGCGATAGGCCCATAGGACTCGATCAAGCTCGTCCGCCCAGTGTCCTCGGACGTCTTCGAGTTTCTTCCGGATCCCATCGACCAAAGTTCGGTTCACATTCTCAACCTGCCCATTTGCTTGGGGGTAGGCCACCGACACCTTGGTATGCTTAATGCCGTGTCGGCAGCAGAATTTGGCGAATGCCTGGCAATCAAACTGTCGCCCATTATCGCTGACGATGTGCTCGGGCAAACCGAAGCGACAAATCACCTTTTTCCACAGAAAACGTCGACACTGGTACTCGGTGATGGTAGCCAAGGGTTCCGCCTCGACCCACTTGGTGAAGTAATCGATGGCCACGACGCAAAACTTCAATCCTCCCGGGGCGACGGGTAATGGTCCTAACAGGTCTATTCCCCATTTGGCGAAGGGAATGGCGGTGGTGACCGGTGTATAGAAGGTGGCTGGCCGAGTGTCTTTCCTAGCGAATGCCTGACAAACGCCACATTTGGACATCCGTTCAACACAATCTCGCATCATGGTCGGCCAGTAATACCCTTGAACGACCAATTTTCGGGCGAGCGTGTGAGCACCCTGGTGCGCAGCGCAAATGCCTCTGTGAGCTTCGTCCATTACCTTCTCGGCCTCAGGCTTAAGTAGGCATTTCAACAGGGGTCCTCCGAACGACTGTTTATATAGGTCTCCGTCTACGATCCGGAAGGAGGGGGCTTTCCGCCGAACCCTCACGGCGACTGATGGGTCAGCTGGCAACTCGCCCGTTTCCTTGAATCGCCGGATGTCATCTATCCAGAACATCTCCGGATTTTTCTCTCGATCCCACCCTTCAATGTTTACTTGCTGGACATCTAGCGGCGCCTCTTCGACACTCGGCCGACTTAGCTCCTCCTTCTGGCAAATCTTTATTAAGCGGTCAGGCACCCCTTCCAGGGCGATTTTAGACAAGATGTCGGCCTCTACATTGTCCGCCCGGGATATGTATTCTATTTCATAAGCTTCGAACCCCTTCAACATCTTAATGGCACATTCTTTGTACAATGCCATCCTCGCGTTCTTAGCTTCGCACGTGCCCGAGATCTGCCCGACTACTAGCCGAGAGTCGGTTTTGACTCGTAGCCGTTCGACTCCTAGATCCTTGGCGAGTCGGAGGCCGTTCAACACTGCTTCGTACTCGGCCTCGTTATTCGATGCAGAGAACAGGTACTTTAAGGCGTAATACAGCCGAAACCCCTCCGGAGTGATGAGTACAACACCACCTCCGCAGTGCTGTCGACTTGATGCTCCATCCGCATGCATCTCCCACCATTCGCCCGGATGGCTCTCCGAGGCGTGTTCCTTCTCCTCCTCACTTGCGGTACACTCGACCAGAAAGTCGGCCAAAGCTTGGCCTTTGATGGAGGGCCTGGGTTGGTACTCGATCCCGTATTGAGTCAACTCGACGGCCCACTTTACCAGCCGGCCGGAGGACAAGGGGTTCCGTAGCACGCTCCCAAGTGGCTGATCCGTCAGGACCCGGACGGTATGGGCTTGGAAGTAAGGCGCCAGCTTGCGCACGGTGACCACCAAGGCATACACGATCTTTTCCAGGGCGGTGTACCGTGTCTCGGCAGCTTTCAGTGAGCGGCTTACATAGTAAACCGGGTGCTGGACTCGGTCCTCCTCTCGAACCAACACCGAACTTACCGCTTTGGCCGAGGCGGCGAGGTACAACAGTAAGGGCTCGCCCTCCTGGGGGGTAGACAGTACTGGGGGAGTCGACAGATATCGTTTTAATTCCTCGAACGACTGTTGGCATTCGACAGTCCAAGCGAATCCCTCTTTCTTCTTCATGGCTTCGAAGAAAGGCACAGTCTTATCCGCCGATTTGCTCAGAAAATGGCTGAGAGCAGCCAGTCGTCCGGTCAGGCGTTGTAGGTCCTTGATAGTAGTAGGAGGCTGCATGTCGAGGATGGCTTGTACTTTCTCTGGGTTAGGCTCAATGCCTCGCTTGGTGACCATGTAGCCCAAAAACTTACCGCCCTGGACGGCGAACGCACACTTTTTGGGGTTCAATCGGAGGTTGTGCTTTATCATTACGTTAAAGCAGTCGGCTAAATCTTCCGCGTGCTTGTCCTCTTCTCGACTCTTGACGAGCATGTCGTCGACGTATGCGGCCATCGATTTTCCTAGCAGGTGGTGGAACAACCGGGCGACCATTCGGGTGTATGTAGCCCCGGCATTTTTGAGTCCGAATGGCATGACTCGATAGCAATAAACTCCGTCCGGAGTTAGGAAGGCGGTCTTCTCCTCGTCCGCCGGGTGCATGAATATTTGATGGTACCCCCTAAAGGCGTCCATAAAACTGAGCAGCGCCGACCCGGCCGTCTCGTCGACTAACTGGTCGATTCGGGGCAGAGGAAACGGATCTTTTGGGCATGCTTTGTTGAGATCCGTGTAGTCTACACACATTCGCCACGTCGGGGGCTTGGGCACAAGGACCACGTTAGCCAACCATTCCGGGTACTTGACCTCACGGACGTGCCCGGCTGTTAACAGCGTGCTGACTTCTTTCTTCACAAACTCCCTCCGGTCGTTGGCCAAGTATCGTTTCTTTTGCACGACCGGCCGGTGCTCCGGGTCTACGGCGAGTCGATGCGATATGATCGATCGATCTACGCCGGGCATATCTTCTGGGCCCCAGGCGAAAACCAGCCGGTGCTCCTGGAGTACTCTCGTGATTTCCCCCTTTAACTTCTCTGAAAGGCCGACTCCGATTCTCACTCGCCTGCTCGGCTGTGCTGGGTCGATCTCAATTTCCTCTAGCTCGACGGCCGGGTCTGGGCGAGGTATCACTGTTTTCTTAGGGGGCCTCTCGGTGATCTCGTGGACCTGCATCCCACGCTTGCCCATTCCTCTACATGCTTGCAGATAGCAGTCGCGGGCGACCTTGCGGTCACAACGCACCGTTCCTATTCCGTTTGGCGTGCGAAACTTCAAGCATAAATGTTCAATTGAGATCAGGGCCCGAGGTCTTCCAAACCCGGGCGGCCGAGTATGGCGTTGTGTGAGCAGGCTAGATCGACCACGATAAACTTCATGCTCAACCGTTGTACGTCCGGATAGCTGCCGATTTCCACAGGAAGAGTGATGGACCCTTCCGCCTCCACCGAGTCCCCGGTGAAACCGGCGAGAGGGGTGTTCACAGGCCTGAGCTGTTCTCGGGTCAGCCCCATCTTGGTAAAGGTCTCCAGGTTCAGTACGTTGACGCTGCTCCCGGTGTCGACCAGGATTCGGCGAACAACCACACCGTTGATGTCCATGGCGATGACCAACGCGTCTCGATGCGGGGTTTCCCCGGCTGGCAGGTCCTTATTGGGGAACACGATGGGCTCCGGCATATCTTTTTGGAGCTCTCTTCTCGACCATAGACTGTTCCGACATATAGCTGCCGAGCCCAGGCTTTTCGGTGTGTTCGCGGAATCGCCGCCTTCTGGCCCGCCGACTATCATGTTAATGACCGGCTTCTGGCGCCATTGGGCTTCGTCCTCTTCGGAAGCCGGCTGCTTGCCTCGGCTGTTTTCTGAGTCGGCGACGGGGTCCCTCACCTCCTCGACTGGTCGACCTCCGCTTCCATTGGTTAGGGGGCGGTGTCCCTTGCTGGATGATCCCCTCCATAATCTTCTTTAGATAGTAGCATTCTTCCGTGCTGTGAGTATAAGATTTGTGATAGCGACAATATTTAGAAGTCTTACCCGTATCCTCGTCCGCTGCACGGTCGTCCATCGGCGGAGGCGGAGGCGGGGCGACCGCCTGTACTTCGTGGACTGGTCGCTCTGGAACCGGTCGATAGGTGTGAACGACGGGTCGGTCATACGGTCGCCTGACCTCGGGCCGCCGGGCGGCATCCGAACGCCTTTCTCTCGTTTCCACCTGCGTCCTTTTTCCGCTGGCGGACCACCGACCTCGCGCTGCCGTTTATGCTTCATGGCCTGCTCTGTGTTGGCCCTCTTGTTGGCCATCTGGACAGCCTCCGCGTATGTCGCCGGGCGGTTGTCCCTTAGGTCTCGATACAGCTGTCCGGATCGCAAAGATTCAATGAAGAAGGTGAGCGCTGTTTTGGTCCTCCACCTCTTCTATCGACTGGATCTCCTTCTGCCAGCGAGCAAGATAGGCTTTCAAGGACTCGCCTTCATCCTGATGGATGTCGCCTAAGTGCGTCAGATCCTTCTGTGGCTTGATGTTAGCGGCATAGTGGCTCATGAAGCGGTCTGCCAGTTCTTCAAAGCTGTGAATCGACCCTGGGGGCTGACTTACAAGCCATCTTTGGGCGGGCCCCTTCAGCGTAGGTAAGAAGGCACGGCACATGACCAGATCCCGCACTCCCAGGACTTGCATCTTAGCTTGGTAACTCAATAGATGTTCTCGCGGGGTCGCCTGATCCGTCGAATGTGGCTTGCTCCGGGAACTTAAAGTCGCTCGGTATCTTAAAGGCCATAACCTCGTCTGAGAAGGGTAAGGCGGTCAGCAACGTACGTCCTGGGGATTTGGTTTTTCCCTCCATCCGCTCTTTCAGACTTCGTACCTCCTGTACTAGGTTGGCCACTTCGATCCTCTCCCGGTGCGATTTCCCGTGGATTCCGTGCTTTCGCCGACTTCAGATTCAGCCGGTTGGACGGGTTGCGAGGAGGTTGCTCCACACGACGAGTCTCAGTCCTGGCTCTTTTGGTTCGGCTCTTCTCTCGTGCAGCTTGTCGGTCGCGGGCGACTAACGGGGCACGACTGGGCTCCTTCCGGCCTAATCGCTCTCTTGCCGACCGACGTCCGACGCTGGGACCTAGCCGGGAATGAACGGATTGCACCGGTTGGCTTTCAGCCCGTCGGCTCAATTGCCGATTGTCTGGCCTCTGAGGCGGTTGCAACTCGCGTTGCAGTTGGCGAGTGATGGACTGTTCTCTCACTCCTAGGCTCGCTTCCGCGCAGGCGCGTCCGATTGCACGCAACTGCTCCGGGGTGAGCAACACTTGAGGTAATTGCGGGTTTCTCAGCGGCGTCGGCGGCGGTGTCGTCTCGTTTTCATGGCTTCGGGCATTTCTTCTATTCAGCTGGTTTCTCAAGTCGGCCTCTCGTCCGTTGTCTTGACGGCTCGACTGTTCCCCGCTTCCAGCCATGTCTGGAGTTTGCCTGATTCAACTATTGTTTCTCGGACTCTCCTTACTCAAGAGGACACGCGACTCTTCGTTTCGATCCCCACAGACGGCGCCAGTGATGGTTTTTGGTTTTCGGGCCCAAGGAGGTCCAACACAACCTTAAGCTGGAGGATACACCTTTCACAAAAAGTCTAGATTTTTAGTGAAGTATGATGCTCAATAGTGCTCTCTATTCCCTCTCCGGGTTTTCTCAATCTGCCTCTTACAAGGGTGGAGGAGCCCTTTTATAGTGGCTCCTCCTCTACTGACTTAAAGGCTCATGATGGCCGACTTAAGATTACATTCAATGTGCCGAGCCGTTGGGCGACGTTACGGACTCTGCCAACGGCTCTCTTTGGCTAGTAACTGGCGGACCGAGTCCGGCCTTTAATGCCTCAACGGCTCCTTGTCTTAACTGCTTTGAAGGCTCCCTCAACGGCTCTCTGGACCGAGTCCTCTCCTGGGCCGGGCCTGGGCCGACTCCTCGTCCGTTTGGCATTGGGCCGTCCTTCCGGGCTCTGAACTGGGCCTCCTCTTTGGACCTGGGCCGAGTCCTGGACTCGGCCCATGCACTCTTTCTGGGCCTCTTTTCTTGGGCCGGGGTTCTCACCCCATCAGGTCCAAATATCAAGGTAGTTTTAATTTTTGTTATTAACTTTTTAATTAGCCAAATGCGATACCTATATTTATCAATTATCAACAGTGGTCATTTGTCAGTTGTCACCAAGTATGTTAGTTGACTATTTAAATGGAGGATATTATTCTCATTTGTTTTTTTTTTTTAACTGTATTAACACTACTAAACTTATTTTTTAACTAAATTTTATTTGTAGCAATTTATTTCTATTATATAGTACTTTTTTAAATTATATATATATATATATATATATATATATATATATATATCTACTTTTAAATTCTACTCTAAACTTTTACTCTCTTTCTCCAAATTTTGATATTAACTTTTGTCACATAATAAGAGAATAAAAGTGGAAAAATAGAAATAAGGTGTACGTGTACTAATAGAACTAAAAAAAAAAAAAAAACTATGTAAGATTTTGAAAGTTGTATAAAGTGGGAAAGAAGCAACTTTATTTTATGTGATAAATTAGTTGAGTAATTATTATCACAATGTACGACTGTAATGATTACATCTCGAAAAAAAAAAAAAAAAAAAAAAAAACTGTGTACAGCCCAAGTAGTTCATTTACTTCTTCTCTCTGGTAGTCCCCCTACTTGTAAGTTCTTAGCAGTCTTATACCCACATTTTGTCATTTTCAATCGCCCTGCCCAAAATATGTTGTCACAGTCACAGAGCATATCCCTTCTATTAACCACAGAATCGAGCTGGGGCCGAAAGTGATATCAACTTTCCAGAATCGGGCGGAACTCGAGCTTTCACGCGCCCAATGGGTCCAGTTTCGTCCCGAATGAAGCCCAAATGGTTTTCAATGTTG